ACAGCCATTTAAACATTCAGCTCTATAATCCCTCTCTGAAAACACAGGAATAAACTTGCCCTTTGCAGGTTTGACTTGTCCCTATGAAAACTTCCCCTCATCAGAGGGGGACAGGATGAGAGGATTGTTACAATGTCCTTTATTCAAGTGTTTTGCCTAAAAACACATTGCTGTAAAATCAGAGCAAACTCAGTTGCTCAGCTGGAGTTTTTAGGACAAAAAATGTCATGGATGGAGCCTCTCACAGCTCCTTGTGGTTCTCCTCTCCACCTCTGTACTTCCTGAGGATGGAGAAAAAGGAGAATATACAGGAGCAGGGCATATTTCCTAGTGGGATGTGAAGGAAGTCCAGGGATCATAGTCAAATGCACAAAGGAGCTCTTGGCACACAGCAAAATTCAGGGACCATTGGCACAGGTAAAGTTCTGGCTCCAGTTCTTCTCCTAATGGCACTGTGAGTATTTTCAGCCTACAGTTAATTTTTAAAGCATTAAAGAACTGCTTTAAAACAGGTCTGTGAACGGTAAACAAGAAAAACATACCTTTTGTTAGAAAGCTAAAACTGGAAAACGGAGACCTTAATCTTTTAGCAACTTTTTTTGGGGGGAATGAGAAGGGGTGAATGGCCTAGAAGACAAATCAGAAAAATCAGATTCACAACCAGCAAATTAGTAGGACAGCAACTATGCTAAAATATGTTTCAGTGATTGTTATCAAATTAAAAAAAAAAAAATAGAAGGGGAAGAAAGCACTTATTGAGGGCTACGTCTTTTTAAATTCCAAAAATTACCTTTTCTGTTTTACTTTTTGGCTAGCTCAAAAGAAATTCTGCTTGTGTCTTCACAGTCTAATCGAAAATTCCCAATATTTCAAAGACTACCTGACCACAAAGATCCAGCCAGATACAAACCATTCTTATATTACTACTGCACAGTCATTGATGTCAGCATGTTTTATAATTTCCTGTCCTTTCCTTTTCAAATGCCACTGGGGGTGAGAAACAGCACTGAGTTACATGGAGAGGGGAATATTCAGCAGCTGGGCAAGGATCCTCCCTAAAGATGATTGTGTCCTGTGTTTACCTGGGAGGGGATAGCACCAAAAGGCACCTTGGAGTGCTGATTTCCAAAATATTCAGGCAGGTGGAGCCTTGCCAAAGGAAACGGGGACTGTTGGATGTTGCACCTGCAGCCGCTGCTGTCTCCCTGTGGCTTTTGTGTTTTGGATCCACCTCACCCAGGGGTTTGGCTGAAGGCAAGTATTTCTGCTAGCATTCCCAAAGAGCCATAACCAGGATGCTGGATTACTCCCAAGCCTGGATTAGCACCTAATTAAGCCTCAAAAGCCAGCAAATCTAACTGGCTCAGAAGATTGCTCCTATCCCATTACCAATCTGTCTTCACTTCTCTCAACAGCAGCAAGGACTTCAGCAGCCAGAAATGAACAATTTATCAATCAGAGAGTCAAGTTTGACAGGAGCTAATGTCTTGGTAAGAAGTACAGCCTTTTCTAAAAAGAATCAATCTGTTATGCTCTTGCAATTTTTAATAAAGCTAAAGGCATCCTGTAATTTCTTTTAATTGCACCTCCATAGGTCACTGTACCAACACCTTTCATTACATCACTGGTACTGCTATTTCTATTTGTGTCTGAGATGAGGATGTGACAGCCAACACCAGCCCAGTTGTTGGAAACCCCTACGAAAATCAAAGAAACTTCCAGCAGCACAATTCTTTTTTAATAGTGGACAATTTAGGGATCTCTCTTTCTCTCTCTGGAAATGTGCAGCGCTATGCAACTCTCACAAGCCTTTTAATATTTAAAAGGAAAAGCTTGGTAGACAAATGGCTCATCCTTCAGTAAGACAAAGCCAGCCAATACACAGCAAGCAACTGGATCAACTCATTGGTTGATTTTCGCTGATGAATTTTACAGCTGTTGACAACAGGAGATACCAAAACCCCTTGATACACTGCATTTAGGTTGATTCAACATGCACATCCTAAACACAATCCTTCACCTTAAAAACGGAACAATCCCCCCCACCTAACTTCTTTTACAGCACCTGAACAAAAGCCTTATTAAAATGCTCCATCTGTTTCCCTTAGCATTTAAATTGCTCCAAAAAACCCACGATAATATTTCTAAAACTTGCAAAAGCAGCGGGATAGAATTAACCTATTCCCAGGGCTGGGCTCAAGTTTAACCCCTGGAACTCCAACCACACCCCCTCCAATCCCTGGCGATGGCACCGATCGTTTCGAATTACCTGCGAGGCTGCGGCCAGGGGAATGCAGCTTTCTGACACTTTCCTGGGACGTGGTGTTGCATTCCCATCAGGGGAGAGCTGGGTCAGCAAGAAATATTGATATTTCTTACAAGGGATGGTTTGGAGTGCTGTGATTTGAAGCATCCTGTCTTTCATAACAAATAAAGGATATTTTTCTGTATCATCGCTATGGGGTTTTTTTTCACTCCTCTTCCCTCCTTTTTTTTTTTTTTTTTTTTTTTTTTTTTTTTTTTTTTTTTTTTTTTGTTCCTTAAGGTGTGGTTTATTCTTTCACCTGAAGCTGGTTAACAGAAACATAATACATCTCACAACATATATATTTTTTTGAAATATATCAGGGAAATAGATCATTATGAGTTACCAAGTGACTGCACTTGGTTATAGTCTATCACTGTGTTTCATCTTCCATACAAAACTGCTCGAGAGCATTATTTTTCTTAATGTGTTGTAGGCTAAAAATGAACCCTCAAGGGCTTCCATTGCTCTCCTTGTTGCCAGAGCAACAAAGCAATGCTCACCTGAATTTCTGCCACTGTAAGTATCAATTTACAAGCCCAGATGAAGTTTGTGCTGCTCACAGGTGCCACTCACAGCAATTTTACTACAAGACACATTTTTAATGTGAAGGAATGCCAGGAAAACTCAAGAATATATCAGTATTTCTACTTGGTTATTGCTCCTCTTAATTCAAGTGTTTCCCTTAAAATATCTTGACCCAGGATATTCAAAGGGAAAGGGTAATACTTAAAATCTTTTATATGAAATCCAGTTCACTAAGAAGACTGTTCACCAACTCAGAAGAAATCTCAAAAAAAAGCCCAATCAGAACCTTTCCCAATAAATTCCTTCCTAAAACTCTTTGTGGTGAGGAGATAGGAGGTTCTGAGGTGAGGGGAGCAGTGATGAAACTTTTTAAGAGCATACAAGTTGCTTTCACTTTCTGAATTGAGAGTTTATTGTTTAACACTACCCATCCAAAATCCAAACTTGTTTCTGTTTGAAACAAGTGACAGAAGCATAACTTCTATTGCCATACTGTAGAAAAAGGAGGAATACAACTCTGAAGTTACTTGTTATGTTTAAAACCAAAGCCAGGAGGACGACGTGGAACTTGTAATTAAAAGATATTAATAAAGAGATATGGAAAATAGAACACTGAGAAAACAGTTAAGCTCTATGGCTTATTTCATGTAATTCACAATTTTTCTCCTCTTAGAAACGAAGAGGCAGAGGAAGAAGGAGACAATCTTAAAATTCCTTCCTGTTTCCAACTTCAAACTCCACAAGAAATCATTTTCAGACGTTGGATCACAGCATCAATTATTTCACTCTACTGAGCCAAGCAATCTGAAAGTGCAAGAATTGAAAAGAAAACCACAGGCACTTCCAGTTACGACATGAAAGACATAAGTTAGTTAAAAAAGAAAAACCCACAGTGTTTTATTTTCACACACACGACGTGCATCTCTGTAAATGCACCTTTTCTGAAAAAAAAAAAAATCTTTCCTCATTCCATGCAGAGTCAGATGCAGAGGCAGTGTGAATCACAGAGCTATATGAAGGGATTTTGGGCAGAAAATTGTCTAGGCAAGGGATTGAGAAATTCAGAGCTAAGCTTTTTTTTATTTCCTCATTTCCCATACAGATATGCAAACTGCTCTGCTATCAAAATGAAAAGGAGTATTTTTTTCCTTTTTTTTTTTAAGTATAAAAAAATCCTCATCCTTGCAATGTTTCTCTTTCCAATCCAAACACTTAGGCCAGCGTTACAGAGAAGCCTGTAACTAGAGAAAAGAAAAATTGTCCTATCTGCAAAGAAAACACCTTGTTCTGACCTCAGCATGATGATCTGCTCTTGCAGAATGGAAGCCTGGTCAAATAGATCCTCCCCTGCTCTCTCCCACTATTGTTTCCAGTCCCACCACGGGTTTGTTTTCAGCCAGGCAGGACACACACACTTTTCATTTGATGATTGATGCCAAACTGAACACCTCAAGCTGAAAAACAAGCCAGCATAAAGACTTTCACTTCACAGCCTGTCCATAAAGACAGGTACTTCTCCTTTGAATGTCTAGGTTGCTGAGCTCAGCCAAATTAAAACAAACAAAAAAGTTGTTGTTCTTATTTTGTTTTCTTTCTTTTACACTCTCTCTGGAAGTACAGCAGAACACAGACCTTGCTGTCTTGTCTGTCCATACATATGCAGATCAGCCTTTTCTAAATCTCAAACTCATAAAAAACCAACAAAACCCCACACATGGGGGGGAAATGAAAAGGTTTCTTTTTTTTTCTTTCTTTTTTTTTTTTTTTTTCTGTGCACCAAAGTGGAAAATCATGAAGTATTGATTTTTATAAAATCCCAAAAAATTCAAAGCCAAGTAGTTCCATTTGGTTGTATGGAGCATCTTTTGTGCTTCAAGACCAGTTCTAATCCACACACTCACCAGTGGTAGCATCCTTGTAAATTAAGAGAGGTAGTCTTGTTTTACTCTAAGGCTGAACAAGTTTGTTTCCCAGTTTTCACCACCTTGGACTATATTTTGTTACAGCTCTCAAGGAGGGCGACCCTCTCAAGTGGCAGCAGAGATCTTGAGGGAAAGAAACCACAAACCAACATTTCTTCTTGATCTCCCTGGCTTTTTCTCTGCTGCTTAAGTCTGACTTTTCTCCCTCCCCCACACCATAAGCACAGTTTCAAAATAAACTGATGTAAACAGAAAGCAGTATTCATTTAATGCAATTAATAAGAAAGATTATTTTTTTTCTCTTTTTCTACAGTCAGGGCTCGATTAGTTAGAAAATACTGACAGCTCCTTTTTTTTTTGTGAAAGAGAGATGGACAATTTTGTTCAGACAGTGGAAGAACATCACGGTGTGGTTTTTTATCTTTTTTTTTTTTTTTTTAAACTTGTTTTTTTTTTTTTTTTTTTTTTTAAAGAAGGTACTGTAGAGAGCATAAAGGCTCATTGCACTGCAGTAGCAAATCCAGTACCGTAGCACTTCAGAGGTGGTTAACAGTGCTTTGGTTCAGAACCGGTGTTAGAAAATAAAGCTATAAAAGTCACGACGCAGGGTATTTGGTGGGATTTTCAACAGCGTTTTGTAGGAACATAGAAGGGACTGAGGAGGCATTGGCTTCTTCCCCTTGGCAGAGCTCTTTGTCCTTGGTTTTTAAGTCTGTTTTTTGGGATCCAGCCTCTCATTTCCACCGGTGGCGCACGAGGGAGGACTCGTCGTTGACCACGTCGTTGTCCGTGTAGCGGTGCTGGCAGCGCGGTGGGATGAGCAGCAGCACCATCAGCACCAGCAGGATGATCCCACACAGGCTCATCAGGGCGTAGGAGGCGATCCAGAGCACGGGCTCGTGGAAGGAGACGCTGGAGACGCAGTTGCTGGCCACGTCTGCTGTGGTGAAAGGGCCCTCAATCTCAGAGACGGGCGAGCCGTCCGCTTCTGGGGAGGGACAGAAGGGAAAGGATCAGGTCTGCAGACACCAGTTAAAAAGTGCTTGTATATCCCTCTCCCTCTGTCATCACACATCTCGGCACACTCGTGTTTTACCACATTTCTCACTGCAATAAAAACGTGTCCTAGGTTGGAAATGGGTGTGTGTGTTCTATTCCTATTTGTGGGGCAGTTCTCTGCTGTTCTTGGGGCAGTTTTTTCTTTATCTCTCCCACAGCCAATCCTCCCTCCAGGAGATCTCTGCTGTCCATGGCCAGGGAGTGTCCCTGCAGGGCTGATCAAATTCCATCATCCCATGGGAGATGCTCCGCCCAGGGCAGGAGCCAAGCATTCCTACCTGGATACAATCTGAGCCTGGAACAGCACAGTAGTCTCTGCCCACTGCATTCCCAGAGGAGCAGCTTTCTCCTGCCCTGCATTCCCAGAGGAAGAGCAGGCCCATCTCCAGCAGCCCTGGAGCTCCAGAGGAAAACTCCAGCCTTGTGCAGGATCCCTGCTCCAGCAGAACCACAGCTGGCACTGCAGGAGGGCTGAGCCCCCATGGGATGGGACTGTGCCACCACCCTGACCCACAGGGGGACAGGGCCTGTTCTCACTCTGGCAGTAGCTGTTTTTTTTTTTTTTTTTTTTTTTTTTTTTTTT